TGTAAATGGCGCCCGTGGGATTTTTCTCCGGGCTTTGCTGGATGGAGCTATCTTTTTAGATACGGATTAGACAATGATGTTGTCTAGTATTAGTCTGATTGAAGCCATCCGTGCACTAATTTAATCCATCTGATAAAGTGCATAAACATTTACGCATCTTTCGCCAACCTTTTCAGCTACCCCAATGTTTAATCGGTATATTTTAGACAGGAACTTTCGGAGGACAAGAAAAAGGCTTGCCACAGAGGACAGTAGGCATCACGCAAGTTGACCCTAAAGAAAGGTGTAGAAATTGTACCGGCCCAAATAATCGCTACGCGACCTGTGAAACAGTTCTTATGCTCTCGAATCTGTTGATTTAGTAAATTTGCGTAAAATAAATTTATTATTATGCAGACACGGCGTTACGCGGAATATGCTGCTTAACATTCTAAATCATAAAAATGCAAAACAAATTCGGTTTCTACAGTCCTAGAACTGTCAAGGGATATATACCAAGAACTGCTGTTTATATCAACCGCGCGAAATAACGTTTAACAATATGTTGTTGCGTTAGCAGATGACGTCTTCAGCTCTATCAAATCAATCGAATTCTTTTATTTCAAAATTTTTTCCTTGTCTTAGAGTAGCTTTGTATATTATAATACTAAAATTTATTTTGTTCATTCTCTGATGAATCGCCGGTTCTATGATTTCCTAAAAAGGTTAACGTTAAGTGGAACCTAGCATCTGCCATGTGATAATTGTCCCGTGCAATCAAATAGACGATCCAATTTTATTGGGGAGTTTTGATACTTATTTTTGAAATGTTTTCTAACCGACTCTTCAATTTACATTCTCATGATTCAACTGGTTTCATAAAATTATATCAAAAACATCTAATCCGCTCTTATGCATCCAAGTCAAGAAGTTCTCGAAATCGCCCATCTGCAAGATCTATATCCAAAAATTTTCCTCGGCCTAATTTGCAACCAACCTCAACGTATAAATATGACGACTTTAAAAGATACAAACTTGAACTGAAACAAGTCAAATCGCAATTTCTCAAGGAAACCACCGAGGAACCCACCCCTTCTACTATTCCCAAGACTGATCCAGCCTCGGACAGTGTAAAGTCCGCTATATCCATAAAATCCCAATTGGACAGGACTTCTGATCAACTCTCCCTGCAAAACCGTCAACCATTTGTCTCACCTGAATATCCTGTAATCAAGCGTCAACGAGCCTTGGTAAACTATAATGAACATACTCAAAAACTACGCGAACAGCGTCTTCGACATTGTTTATATCTCTATCAATCAACAACGGATTTTGTGACCGAGAAAAATCTCGATTCAAAAATCGAACTGGCATTTAGTACGCCGCGACGACCATTTATGGAGTCGCTAGCCGATTTGCAGCTGGATGTAGTGGATTCGGGCGGCGTTATAGATGAGCGAGAGGCAAAGAGACGGCTGGATAGGTTGAGGGACGTGCTTGATGGTACTACACATGGTGGAAAATATTTTGGGTTAGATGCTGTTAGCGTTTGGGCAAATTCGGAAGACGGGCAAAGAGTGGGAGAGGAGAGAATTTCTGTCAATGCTGTCGATGGAATCAGTGTCGAAAGGGTTATGAAGGGTAGTGATGAAAATGGGAGCGACGGTGAGGAGGCGCGGAAGAGTGATGTAAATGTGAACGACATTACTGTTGAATTGGATGGTGTTAATGACAAAGCGACATACTTGGAAATGGTAGATTTGAATCTGAGGGAGGATTCAGATGAGAATGAGAAAAGTGCGAGTATTGCAAACGATTTACGATAAGGTGATATATTTTTATTGAACGAACTTTGTCAGTGCATAGTTTGCCTTTACACTAGTAAAGCGGAGATAGGATCATGCAATATGGTTTAGAGAAATAAACACTTCTGACAATGGCCGATAGAGTGACATGATAACGGCCCGATCTTGGGCTTGTCAACGTTTAGCCCGATTACTGTTCTGGTTCATCCTAAACATGACCGTGCGACAAAGACGCTATCTTTACATTGCATTCTGTATAGTCAATAAATGTATTATTTTATTTCCTTCCCCCGTGCGTTGTAAACGGAATTTAATGTTAAATTTGTTCTCTTTCCATATTTGGGGCATGTCTAAAGCGGAGCAGATCCCTCGCAATTCCATTGGTCAAATTTGTATGGCAGCCAATAAAACTGCAAATACAGGATCACGTTCTGCTCCGCTTTAGCCTTTCCCCATATTTGAATATTCACGTGTTCGACACATTCTCCAAAGACGCGCCTACTCCACATAGCAATTTTGGTTCTTTCACGTTCCTCCATGCCAACCACAACAGCGGATTCGCTCCAAGAATTTGCAACGTTTGCAAGCCTCCGCAGACTGTTTGACCAACTTTCTCTTGAACCCGAAGCCGCCACAGCCGTTCAAAAGCTTATAAATGAATTCGTCACGATAACTGAAACCTGTCGGTCATTAAAACAAGGAAAATCGAAACTAGAACAAGAGAAAATTAATGCTAATAGTCAGGTACTTATTTTCTGAAACGAGAAAGGGACTTTTAGCTGAATTTAAGCTCTTGTGAACGTTTTACTAGGCCGAAGTACTTCGACGATTGGTTGTGACTTTGACAAAAGAAAATAACCAGCTTCATTTGGATCTTATACATAATGTCGAAGCGAGGAGGCAAGAAAATTGGGAAGCACAAAAAGTAATTAGAAAACATGAAAATGAGATTAACGCGATGAGATTTGTGAATGGCCAGTACATTGGAATGACACGAGAAGCAGAGAGAAAACTGGATAGTGAATGCAAAAAAATTGAAAATTTGTTAAAGTCTTGTAAAGTATAAAGAATGCACTATTTTTGCGTTGACTTTGATTGTAATTTTAGCGTACATATTTTACTTATTATGTCTATCCATTAATTGCTTAGGTACGCGAAAAGGGCCCGGGAAATCCACTTTGACGGAAGCTGTTTCGGGGCAAATTGAGTTGAATGTTCCTCTGGGTATTTTAACAAAATTTGAGCTTTTTTTTATATGCGCGCGCGCGATTATATCTAAAATTATTGTGCTTTGCTTTTAGAGCCCATATCCGATAAATATGATACAATTAAACAACCAGATCCACATGTTGTTGATACCATTAAATTATACCAAAGACGCTTAAATCAGCTGGATAGCAACAATAAAACGCTTATAGAAAGAGAAAAGGAATATCAAGCTGAAGTGTGTTATTGTTTTTATAATTGACTCGCGGCGGCAATGATTTCAGCAACAACGTGCTAAGGCTTTTTGTGAATACGCGTTTACCCTTAGATTCTAGGTCTCAAACAACAAATCACAACAAGGGAACAAGAAATAGCGCGTCTTAATACACAGTTGGTTTCAAAACGAGCAAAGAAACTTTCCGATATTTTTAAAGAAGATGAAGCAACTGGTACATCTTCCGATTCTCGAGTTCGACAATTAGAGATGCAGACCGAATACCTTCATGAATACATAATAAATCTCGAACAGGTAAGCGAATGCAACTATTGGGCCGTTCACTACCAGTAAAACTTGTTACAGAGCGTTGTCCGAACCTGTAGGATTTAGCCAAACTCAAGGAACGACGATCAATGTTACTCAAAGAACAGGAACAAGAAACACAATCTATAATTGAAGAGCTGAACGATGTGAAAAACAGAAACACAGTGTTGCTTAATAACATGGAACAACATGAAAAAGTGGTCAAGGGGGTTGAAGAGACACATAATGATGTTTACAGACTTGGTAATCATGATTTAACTTGTATTATTATCATAGTTTAATAAATAATACGATGTAAACATGTTTAATTTTGCAATATTTGTTAGCAAGGTCACGAGACAGAAGGCAATCGAACGACATAGTAAGTTCACGTTTCCCTCAAAAGTTTGATTATTATTGCAGACATCTCATGGGGTTGTTCTAGGCGACACGTAACAAGTACTTGAAGGCCCTCAACACAGAAAACGAACAATTAAAGAAAGACTTTGATGGTAGGTGATATCGAGTTCTCGATATTTTTAACTGTTATGCTTGTCTAATTTAATTCAGATGTTTCCCGAGAGAATCAACAGCTTAAAGACTCTTTGAGGAAAACCACATATCAGCTTGAAACTCTTACGAACAGGTTCCTGTCGACAGCCGAGAGGCTGCTTGAGCTTGGTTCTAATATGCAATTTGACATTAATCCCCCCACCGAGTCGATTGATGATGGACATGAATCTCAACAGCAAGAGCAAAGTGTGGAAACGGAAAGATAGATAGATCGTTTCCATATTCTAATGGATACTGTTGCTCCTAGCAAACTGTAAAGCGTAATACTATGCTGGCAGTACAGAAAATTGAAGGTATTTGCATTCTCTTTACTTTTTTCATATGTCACATCGTTGGGTAGACCTGACATGATCCATGACCAATCCTTATACAGCTAACCTACGTAGTGTCCTGCAAAGTTGCACTCGAGTATTACACGAATTGATACGACGAAGCGCCGTGTATATTATATTGACAATAGTGTTGCGATCTAATCCATACTCGAGTAAAAGTTTAAGCAATCGAGACCTTACCAAGTTCATAGTAATAACTTCCCCAATATTGTTATAATAAAATAAGATTGATGTAATATTAAAGAAAGTCGATCGTATATTCTCACCCAACGGTTAGTCTGATGATTGTTTATTTAAGATCGTCATCATCGAAATCATCCGGAAAATCTTCAAGAGAACGCGAGTCAATTAATGAATCGTTAAAGTTCAATAGCACTCGCCAAACCTACCATTGAAGAAGTCCTGGTCGAGTATTTTGTCAGTATTTTGTCCATGTTTATGGCCACCTTTATGCAAAGTGCCTTGTAAGAGACTCTCGTCAGCCATATAGGTACCCTGACCACTATTTCCTTCTCTGTTGAAGCTACTCTGTGATTGATACAAGCTTCTCCCAAGACCATCTTCAAATTCATCAACGGGCATTGGATCATACAAGTCCTCTAATAAAGAAAAGACAAGAGTCAGAGTGTGATGTCAAATAACCCCGACAGCATACCCGAGTCTCGTTTCACTGATAGTGCCCACTAGTTTGTTCGTCGGCGATTACTAAGTCACTTTTTCTCTTCAATTGGGGAAGAGGGAGTAGAATTACATGGACTAGATTTCCTACTACCTTCAGCTTCTGGTATTTGTGACATTTTGTTCAATTTTGGCGAGTCAACTGAGCCTCAATATTTTGTGAATCAAATGATTTATAAGGTCTCATGACCTCAGATGCTTAATGACGATCTCAATGACCACGCTGTGTGCTACAAAGTCTTGACAAATAAATTAAGAAATTAATATGGCTTTCCATTTCTCGTCAATGCAATGAAAACGAGCTCATTGAATTATAATAAAACCACTCATTTAACGTAAACAAGGCAAAGCGAAATAAGGCTTCTGAAATTTCATTTTAAACAATTTTCACGTTGAATCAAAGATTTTGTCTATTCGGTGTATATGGCAATCAAAAAATCCGGCAGAATTTTCAATGCCAACAGTTTCGATTGTTTTACAAAACGTCCCTTCTCTCTTTGACCCTTCCAAATACAAGTCTTTGTTTATTTAACCTTTGTAACCAAATATATACAAACAATAGGACTCATAAAACTCATAAACTAGAAAACAAATAAATAAATAAATAAATAAATAAATGACGATCTCAATCGAGAACATACAGTGGCTTGCTAAAATCATTACTAAAAATCTTAGAAAAAAAACAAAACTTTCTAAAAAGGTATACGCTACCATTTGGCGTAGTATGTGTGTCGAATAAACTCCACTTGATGTAGTCATTTGTTGCTCCTATAAAAAGACTCGACAGGCGAACCGAGCATCAAGTAAAGCAAACTTCCATATTAGTACACTGCTTCCAATGCGTACATTTGCTCTTTTCGTTTTCTCGTTTATTTTGTTTATCGCGCTCCCGATAAACGGGGAACTCGTTTGCCCTGTAAACGTCCCTTCAACTACTTGTACCCAATGTCAAGCTGCCATTGACTCGATTTTTTCTCCAAACTACTTTACTGGTAACGGTCTTCCTGGTCAGCTTCACCCATGTGACTTTTATGGTCAACTGGAAAAGGAAATTGTCAATCGTGCGAAACCTGGACTTAGCCCTTTTGATCCAACTGTCCCTCAATTACTCAAAGATGCGTACGATGCTGCATGCTCAAACCCAAGTACGTGCACAGAGCAAGAGGCTATTGCTGGATCAAAGACCATCGAAACCGGATGTGGAGATCTAGTTGGAGCTAGCAATGATCCCGGAATCATAAACGCCACGTATGCCTATATAACACTTCGAAACTTTATCCCGGAGAAAAATGTCTTTTGCACCAAAGACGCGAACGGAGGTAAGAATTGTCTCGCGAAATTGTTGTACAAGTGGTGACGTAAACAACTACTAATCCATAAAAGTCTCGTTTAATACAGACAGTTTCCGTTGGCAAATTGACCGTGATATCATAAACTACGCAGCGACAATAGTTTCTCCAGACATAGCTCGTCTTGTAGTCCCCGCTGACCCAGCAATTGTCTTTTTCACGTTCAACACGACTGGAAGCACTCCATCTGTCCATCAAATTCCTGATTCAGTTATTTGTAGTCAAGCCTACAAATACATGGTTACCACATTCTCCAGTTTTGTTGATCAATATCCACTCGACCCGCGGTTTCCTTATCTTACAGAAAATTTGAACATAGCCAAATCGCTTGTTCAAAACAATTGTACGAGTGCTACCAGAAAGTCTAAGAGGAGGAGAAATAATAGATCGTTTAGCCTGAATAACATTGTCTACGATCAAATATATGGTCACGGTCTCTGAGAAGTACAGAACTTGTTTCATTTATTTAGTATCTCAATGTAACAATAAAGAATTTGAATATGCAATTCATTTAACCGCATTCCCCAAAGTCGTTGCCTATATCAGCAACGTTGCGTCGATCATGCGCATCATTGCAGCGTGCAAAAGCGCGACACCTTTTGATATACAGTGTGTAACAAAAAAAATTGACCCCCGTTTTTTGAACAATTTAAAATTATTCGTTCACCGAATTATCATTTGACAACGGCGATTCATTGATAAAACGAGATTAAACAACATAGAGCTTGGAAAAGTTTTCCCATTTGTCAACCAAGTACTGCTTCAACTCACTAATATCTGTTGGGATACGCTTTCTACATTATGTTTAACAATGCTCCGTAGATTTCTATAGAATTAAGATCCGGACTGTTGGTTGGCTGACTCGTATGTTATCTTGCTGAAATCTCCATCGTCTGCCAAGCATTCTCTGCATGGTGGCGCAATATTCCAACATAAAATTTTGACATGCATAATAGTGAAGCAGAATAGACTTGTCATTTCCTTAACACAGAATACGCCCAAGCAAAACCTTGTCTATTTATGAGAAATGGCCTATGGGCTTAGGAATAGATTAAATGCTGTTTATCGAAAAACAGGGTCGTTTTCCAATTATCATTTAAGTGATTCATGGCCCATTCGACTCGTTTTGCCTTATAATTGTCTGTGAGGATTGGTGTGCCTATTGGAAGAGCATTTTTATACCCAAGCGCCTTCAATCTTCTTCCCTTCTCCATCCTTGGATAATGCTGTAGCCAAAGCTTGCAACGATAAAGATTTTATTTTTGCGAATGCACTGCTCAAATGTACGTAATTTTCGGGTCTTAGGTTTTTGTGACGCTTCTGTGCTAAACATTTCCGGTCTTTTTACTTTTTTGATGTCATATTTAATTGCTAATAGGAAAATACCAGTTAAGCGGTGAAGTTCTTTGGGAGAATGCGCACCCTGGTTCAAAAATGAAGGATGAATGAACGTTGATTATTATGCTTATTGCAAGTCATTTTTTGACAGCTATTAAATTAAGACAAGGCAGGGACTAAAGCGTGTTTTATACGCACAGAAGGTGGCGCAATTATTTATAAAAAAGTTGACGCAATTGTTCGTTTATTTGTAAAGCTACGCGCTTTAAATTTTGTATATGTAGAGATCAATTTTTTTTGTTGCACACTGTAATAAGCTGCTCGACTTTCCGCTAGATTTGATCATGTGTCTTGATTAATGTTTATATTAACGCTTTATTAACATTCTTCTCTAATTTTTTTATACTCGGCAATCATTATTAATCATCAATAGTCGTGAACTACCAATCCCTATATGGATTAACCTCTTGTCCTGTGACATAATTGCTTAAAAGAGACACGCTTTGATAGTAGTATACCCAAACCCTAACCTAACTAATCTGTTATATCGAGAGATCCGTTATATCAAGTAATCTGCTTTATTGGGTGATCTTCAATTAATATTTGTTTAGCTCAAACTACAAACGTCTTACAATCCACAAGTGATTTTATTCTTTATATGCTTGAATCGAAGACTCGACAAATTTTTCTAGTGTCACTTGCTTCTTCTTTTCAATACTTTCATACATAATAAACCGTTTAAGACTATGTAAGTTCTTCATCAAGGACGCACTAACTCCTAGATTGTTTTGTTGTATATATTTTACCACATTATCGACTCTTACAATCGCATCATTTGTTTTAACTTCCGTTTTCCTATCCTCTTCTTCTGATTTACATCCCTCCTGTTCGTTCATTACTTCTACAATATTACCTATACTTGCACTTTCTCCACTACCCATCTCATCACCTATATTCACAAATCCTCGTACCTCCAAAGGATCATTGATTGGTAATTGTTCAATGACAATCTCCATTTCTAATTCTCTTTTTGTTATATCAAGTATATTACTGGTATATAGTACTTTTTGGTTAGCATCCGTTATAAGCTTTATCGAAAGATTACTAATAAAATCCGGTATATCGAGAGATATTTTATTAGTGTTGGATTTGTTCCATGAATAATCTCCGTACTAAGCGATATCCGCTATATTGAGAGTCCGTTATATCGAGTTTCACTGTGTAATTCCATACGTTTAACTTTGTAAACTGTTAATTAATTATCTGTTGTAGACATTGTTGGTAAAAAAGTCTTATTATACCAATTTTGAAGCCATGTTAGGCTCGCAATATTAGTTAGTTTGTGAGTCGTCATCGTGGAGAAACAGATTTCAGTGAAGAGCAAGAAGAGCAAGAAGAGCAATAGTAATAAAAGCACTGAAGACATTAAAAGTAATGTAAGAGCTCAAGAATTGGGTAGAGTAGAAACAAGGAAAAGTATGCGTTTAACTCTTTAGACTCGCAACAAAAAACGAAGAAAAGATAGTCTAAGAATATGATATCCTATCATGGCTTGAATAAAGCAGTTTTGCAAAAAAAAAAGATGTTTTTTTTTTTTTAAATGTGGCACTACTCTTCAACCACGCATCCTTTTACTATATAATTTAGCTCATTTAATCTTCAGGACAATTAAATTATTCTCAATAGTCAAAGTACAGATATTATAGTAATATTATTCTCAAAAATGCATGTCAAAGATATGTGTTATCACATTTTTCTGTGGCGCTTGACTGTTCCCATGCTAACAGCTTCAGAAGACGTCGTTTCCTTTTTTACGCAATCAAAATACATCTTTTTGTTATATTAATTAATATATTGTGTACTAAGCATATTGGTGCCATGTTTACAACTTTTATTTTTAGTTCAAAGATTCACATTGATTAGCTGCAAGACTGGGTTAGCACGACCCGTAAACAACGTTGATTATAAAATATGTGTTGATCAGTATAACACGTGATGATTTTTATATGTTTTATTGTCTTGCTTTTTCAATATTACTTATAGCTACATATGATAATCAATGAATCGCGACATGTTGTTTGAAATAGCTCTCGTATCACAGCCGCTTTTTTTTGTTTGTTTAGACAATGCGTAAATAGTGGTTAATAAGAAAATACAGTTATTCAGGCTGCAAATACTAAACTATTTGATAGTATATTAATATCCGATAATCTACAAAAAAGGGGTATTTTGATTCTATTGATGGAAATTCTATTTCGAATTAACGCAGTAACAAAAAAAAATGGGAATGCAAAATGTGGTCTTTACATGATTACAGATGTCATTTTTGAATCCACAATGATGATTTGTACTATTTTTAAATCGAATTAATCAGTTGACTTTAACGTACGTTTTATATGTGTAATGCGCAGACTGCATGATTTATTTGATATGGCAATTGAATGGGAAACAAAATTCCGAAATAAAATTAACCCCGTTACTATATACAGCATATTAATATAGCTAAACTATAACGTCATTTGTTGATAACAATAGATCTGCTTATACAGATTGTTGGTAAAAGCCTTACAACACACATAATAATACATATACGTAATATTGAAAAAATTACTTGATTTCTTTGTAACTGATCATTGACATATTCGGGGCAGGCTAAAATAGAGAAATCTCATTGGTTGACATACAAATTTGACCGATTACAATATAATTATAATTGCAAGAATCATATCACATTCTGCACATTCTGCGCATTCTACGGGATGGACGTATAACAAAAGCCAATACAAAGAAAAACTGTACTCTCTTTGTATTAACATTCATCGTGCATACAAATGTTTTCAGAGAGACAATTATTTGTTTACACAAGCAAAGACGTTATTGTGCAACATCAACTCCCTTTTACTTGGTACTGCACGAATGCAGTATTCCTTTTCGGACAAAAGCAGCCGATGAAAGCATCCTCGTCATACAGATACGCTTGCAGGTGAGATAGATGTAAGAGAGATAAGGCTGAATCAATCACTATTATGACGGAAACTTTTGACTCTGGCCACTAATATTTTAAATCTGCGTTCGGTATAATCGGGAGGCTGTGTACATGTCCATAATTTTGGTATACTTTCACGATTTTTTGCCTAATTCACTTTGTCATGCATCTCATTTCCCACATCCCCCCCCCCCCTGACGCGCGAATGACCAGCGTTATTTCTATTGTTCCAATTCCTTTCTGTTTTGTTTAAAAACTGCGGACGAATATGCAAGTAAAAAAAAAAAGCTAATCAAAGAAATTCCATAAACATTCGATTTCATCATATGATAGTAAACCCCACTTTCAATATCATTAATTATTTGCTAAACTGTAATATATTTGCGCTTTCCGTTTTTATTGTTGTTCCAAAAGTGTCAATTAACTGCGGAAAACCTAGATCTATTTTTGTTAATATACATAGATTACTTTATTGCTTTCATATTTCAGGTAGCGAAACAACTATATAAAGAGGAGGTTGGCTATCCTCTGATTATTGCAAAATACCTTCAGAAATGTTCTCTTTTTACTACATACTTCTCGCCCTCTGCCTCTTCTCATTCTCGGTGGACGCGGATATCGTCTGTCCCGCAAACCCCCCATCACCTACGGCATGTACTGACTGCCAACATGCAATTAATTCCGTCTTACCCGCGAATTTTTCGCAAGAACCTGACCCACAGAATCTTCCGGCTACAGTACATCCGTGTGACATTTACAACTTGTGGTTCCGTGAACTTTTACGACATTGGACGCCGAACAAAACTGCGTTCGATCCGGATGTCCCACAACTCGTCCGGAACTCGATTGCCACGGCGTGTACTTTATCGACCAAGTGCACGGCCGAGTTTGCTCTCCCTGAGGCAAAAACTGTGGACACATCCTGCGGTGATCTGGTTGCCGCTAGCGGCAACGATACTGGGGTAAATGATGCTCGCCTCGCCGATCAAATATTATACGGCGGGGTCCCGCAGAGGCAAGTTTATTGCACTCAGGACTCCAATGGAGGTAAGAAATTAACCAATGAAACAATATATCATCGCATCGTTATACGTACCGTTAATACGTGCTAATCGATATTTCCTTAAAAAATTTTCTTACTACAGACACTTTTGGCTTTCAAATTTTGATTTCCATCTTGAATGACGCAATGGCCAAACGAACCCCCGATCAAGTTTACGTGCATGCCCCAAATCATCCTATCTTGGGGTACTATCTCGTATCGAAAACTCATCAGGCTACGCCTGAACAGTTGCCCGTCTCGGCAATGTGCACCCCCGCGTATGCGTTCATGGTTAACACTTATAGGCAATTCGTTGCCAAAAATCCCCCCGACTCGCGGTTTACTTCTATCTCGGGCAACTTGAAGACGGCCGTAGATACTCTACAGAGTAATTGTCCGAATTTGTTGACCCCCCCAACTAAGGTCAAGAGGGAAAGGCTAGGCAGGTTCTCTAGGAAGAGAATGTAAATTGGGTTTTCATTAAATAATTATTTAGCTCAATAGTTTTGGTTTGGAATTTCTCATTTGCTTCAGTTGGTGAAATAGAAGTATCCGGTTTGGGTGGTTCCAGAGGGATATGTATTAGTAATCTTGATACTGTTATCCCACAATAATAATCATATGTTATTAATCAATAAATATATTTTATCATTGATCATTATTTTTTATTTTACACCTTCGATTTCAAACTTTTTGAATTTTGGAGTTTTTGAATAACGTGACCATAAAAAATTATGATACCTCCGTCATCAGCTTCATATCAAAAAAAAACCATTTTTAAAGTAAGAACGCTTTCGTTGTAAACAAGATAAATGCGAGACTATAATTGCAGAAAACTCGTCGCTGCAAGAGAATCATATTGACGCTATTATAATCGACTGCTAGTATACCATATAAGGCAAATTAGCTCACGTTTTGTTTAAACTAGTTTGTGGCAACACAGATTCGATGAAACAATACTATTTGGTATTGTGTCAGAGAGAATTGACCCAAACCAAAAAAAAAAATCTCTTCCTATTCTCAAAGCCAAAACTTGCTCGATGCAGAGTCAGTAATCTAGTGGTAACTAAATAAAAACGAAAGAAGTATTCACAATAGGTATTATTATCTCTATGTTTACATCTGCAAGCGACAAAAAGGCAATTTGCCTCTTGCCAGGATCGAACTGGCTACCTTACGCTTACTAGGCGTACGCTCTGCCATTTGAGCTAAAGAGGCTGATTGTTATTTGCGGCTCCCGATATAGCCTACTTATACTATTTTAAGCCGATCTCTCAGCGTTTTGGACATGCTGTTTCAAAACATGTGAGCCTATCGGTCGATATGACGAAAAGGACCCCCACGAGTGTTCTCTGATAAAAACTCTATATATTTATATTGCACGTAGAATTGAATGACTTTTTTTTTGTTGTACATGTACAATGTACTTTATTTTTGCAAATATCTTTTATTGTCGCTATCTAGGTCCCATATGTGAGTACAATTTACCCAGTTTGCGTCGTTATAGCTATCAAAGTTATTGAATAAGACAAAGGACAGAATCGACGTATTTGTGTGTGTCGTTTTCCTTTTCATGTGGCATTGCATTGCCGAAAGCTCAATAACACGAATCATCAATATTTTTTCAACCTGTACAAAGTTCATGCGTTGACACATTCATCCTTCACTAATGTAAGCCGGATCCTCACGAGTCACTTCACCGTTCCCCCAAATCATACACATACGTATGTACGTCTATCTATCGATTAAGCGATGCGAACACGCGCGTGACTGTACGCTGTAGCTTTTTGCGAACTGCGCTGATTTCATCCTTTGTGGCCGACGAACCGTCACTAAGGTCAAGAAACTCGAGAGTCTCTGATAACGCATTTTCAATCGTGTCTTTTTCATTATGTTTTAGTTTCAGAGCAACATTGGGTTCAGTTAATGTATTTTCAATCTGCATAAACAGAGTAAAACGTCAGCATATATCTAAGAGAGACTGGATAACCTCCTAACATTAGCCGTGCCTATATAAAACGTTACCTGATATATGTAGTTCTCTAGCTCTTGTCTGGCTTCAACACATTCCTGCTTCTTGTTATCCTCCAATTTAAACCTTTCAGACTCGGAAATCATTCTTTCTATGTCAGCAGCGGACAATCGTCCTACAGAATTGCTAATAGTAATATTAGCTTTACGTCCCGTTATTTTATCTCTTGCCGTAACTTTCAATATGCCGTCTGCATTTATATCAAATGTACATTCAAGTTCGGCTTCTCCACGTGGCATAGGTGGAATACCAGACAACTCAAAAGAGCCGAGTAAATTATTATCTCTGCACATTGGTCGCTCTCCTTCGTACACGGGAAATTCAACAATAGTTTGACCATCCTCGGCAGTTGTAAAAATCTTTTTCTTGATCGTAGGTATTGGCGTGTTGCGCGGAACGACCACGGCCATAACTCCGCCCTGAGTCTCTACACCCAAGCTGAGGGGTACGACGTCGAGAAGCAAAAGATCCTGAGTCTTTTCGTTATTTGCCTGATTTGTTAAAACCGCCGCTTGGACTGCTGCACCATATGCTACGGCTTCATCAGGATTTATCGATTTGTTCAATTCCTTTCCGTCAAAATACTCTTGAAGCAAAGACTGTATCTTGGGGATGCGCGTGGATCCTCCAACAAGAACAATTTCATGGATTTCTTTCTTTTCCATCTTTGCATCTTTTAATACTTTTTTGACAGGTTCGATAGTGGAATTAAATAATGATACGTTCAATTCTTCAAACTTGGCACGTGTAATGCTTGCCTGAAAATCAATGCCTCCGTGCAATGAATCTACCTCTATTGTAGTTTGTGCTGAAGAACTAAGAGTTCTCTTTGCCCTCTCGCACGCGCTGCGCAGTCGCCGTATTGCTCTAGCATCCGATGAGATATCTACTTTATGTTTCCGCTTGAATTCCGACTTGAAGTGTTCGAGAAGATTGTTGTCAAAATCTTGCCCGCCAAGATGGGTATCTCCTGCTGTAGCTTTTACGGCAAAGACTCCACCGGTTATATTCAAGAGCGACACATCAAACGTGCCTCCGCCGAGGTCGAATATGAGAACATTTTTTTCGCTGGTATCTTTTGCATCAAGACCATATGCAATTGCTGCCGCCGTAGGCTCGTTGATTATGCGAAGAACATCAAGACCAGCAATCGTTCCTGCATCTTTGGTTGATAGGCGTTGGGAATCGTTAAAGTATGCTGGAACCGTAATCACAGCTTTTTTGACTGTCTTGCCAAGTTTTCCCTCTGCAATTGCCTAAATTAAGTGTACAAAGTAATAATTTGAGGAATCATAAATAAATATAAAGAAGGCTCGTAATGCAGAATGATCTACTCTCGCAGAGTTAAACGTACCTTCATTTTAGACAACACCATTGATGATATTTCTTGCGGCGTGAACGTTTTTGTTTCGCCCATAAATTCAACTTGTATCTGGGGTGATCCGTCACTATCAACAACAGTAAACGGCCAATGTTTCATATCTGCCTTGACTTCGGGGTCATCGAACCGTCGACCAATAAGACGTTTCGCATCAAAGACTGTGTTTTTTGGATTCATTGCTGCTTGATTTTTGGCCGCGTCTCCGATAAGACGTTCGGCACCAGCGAACGCCACGTAAGACGGTGTGGTACGGTTGCCCTGTTCATTTGCTATTATTTCTATTATAATGTGGAAGCGTTGTGGTTGGCGTTACTAGACCGTATTTGACAATACGGATAATCAAGATACGACTTTTTTTAAAAAGAGCTTGCGAGACTGTTACAAATGACCATACCTACGCGTTCGTTCTCCCACACCGCGACACACGAGTATGTGGTACCCAAGTCAATTCCAATAGCACCCACGTAATCGTCAGCCATTTCTTTTGAAAGGTTTTTAACAAAATATTATTTTTTTTTTAATTATTCGAAAATTTTCTACAAGATCTTCAGAAATTGGTTACAGTAACGTGACCGTATGTAACGACGTCGCAAACAGATAATCACAAACGGTGACGTCATTTTCTTTTTTTGTCAAGTGTGATTGCGGAGTGGGCATTATAGAGTGTTTTATGGCAGTTAAAAAGCTTGTAAAAAGCAAAAAAATCTGTACATTGGGCTGAAAAATTTGAAGACAGATCGAGAGGAGTTATTAGGGGATAAAAACTGTAATAACAAGACCGATATTAATATTTAGATCGTGAGTATAAATCGTAGTTAATCAAAGTATATCGATATATGTCACCCGCACATCGTACATGCGGTCACGTTACGGCACAATAATAGCAAGAAAATTTTGAGTTAGTTCATCCAATCAATTTCATATGCACGTGGCTAGAATGTTCGCATATTTAATAAAGTTTATTGCAATTCAAACCAGAGCCGAGATTTTTACGATTCAATAGTGCAAGCCAGGCGAAATGGTCGAGTTAGAGGAGGTATTTGTGTTTGCCTACTTTCTTTGTTTCTTACCGGGCGAGTTTTCTTTCTGATCTAACTAATACCTGTAGGTACTTGAAGATCACGAAGAGGCAGTAAGTGATGAACAGTCTGATAGTTCTAGTGAAGGAAGTAATTCAGACGACGACTTTGAAGAATCATTCGTTGAGCGAGTAAAGGCTCTCCGTGACATAGTACCTCAAGATACACGAGAAAGCATAGTAGGCAACATTTCGTCTGTATTCAGAGTTGGCTGGCAAGGTGCTACTTGGATAGGAAAAGTAATGTGGGTCTTAACCACGTCAGCACTACTGGTTGTTATGCCACTCGCACTAGAGATCGAGAGGGAACAGGCGTTGGTACAGCTGGAAAATGAACAGAAAGCTATGGTAAACGTTTAAATCTTGTCTGTTTTTTCCGTGTATATTTGTAGGCAGGGTTATACCAACATGTACTCGTTTTTTCGTAATTGATAGCAATCAGGAAGTCCTTATGGTCAACCTGGCCAGCCCGGTCAGCCTGGACAGCCCGGGCAACCGGGACTGTCGACACCACCGATTGGTGGATACGTGCCGCCCGGTTACTAAGTTAATCGTAACCTGATCGATCTGTTTTAGGGGAAGTAATAAAAAAGAGACATTGATGAGAGACGGACTTGATTAGTTCTCATGTTTGGGGTTTGTCAATGGGTTTACAAACCATATATTCGCAATAAAATTGTAAACACCTATGCAATGCACCACATTGATCATCAATTCATTATGATTTATTATTCAACCATTTTATCATAATTTCGTATACATAAAACGTAACCGCATTAACAGGCCATGCGCGCAACAGCGTCGGCGTGATTCCTCTAAAAAATACACGGATGCCTTCTGCACGATACGATCGCACTATACAATCAGTTACGCCCTTGTACGGTTCAGAGACGGGCTGCTTAAGTATCGGTGATTGACTCGAATGACGTATTATTGGTTCTTGTTCTCTGTTGACTGATGATAGACGGTTTTGCGTTTGGATACGCGACTTTATGGTATCTGTCGTAAAAGGGACGGGGGCGTATTTATTAGACATGCCGTTTTTGAGACATCAGAGGGTGACTAGAGTACATCTTCTTACCTAGTGGATATACGCTTGCCCAGGATAAAAGTCCAGCCATACCACCGGCAAACAGTAGACGGGAGACATTGTTAATGTCATCGAGACCTGAAGACTGACTGACGCCCAATGTCCTTTTCAAACCTTCGTATGTCCTTTTTTTTTGTCACGAGAATTTTAATTTAGTACTACATACGACATTATAATTCCCATATAATTTTTTACTCACCAAAAATACACCGCATAACCTGGCGCGTCTCTTATAATAGTTATCCATCCGCCCTGAAAAAGGCCTGAAATCACGAGTTCAACGACATTTATTGTAGTAATAGAAAAGCTCGGTTTTCGAAAGTTCAGATTTCGCCTACGTACCCCTTATGCCTTCTTGCCTCAAAACAGTCTTGAATACACTCCAGGAAGTTGTTTGATCTCTGACACCGTCTTTTGGTTTTCTCTCTCGCAATACTTGCGTTTTGCACTTGACGAGCTCTGTGGGAGTACTTGCCAAAAAGCAGGCGACACCTGCACCAAAACCGGAAACGTATACTTCTGTCAACGTAGGTTGATCATTAGAAACCGAGGTTGAAAACAACCGGAGGATGCCACCATACGATGCGAAAAGAATTGAATTTAAGAATGCAAGACCTACAATCGGAGAGGCTACACCTTTAAAAAGGGATGTAAACTGACGGATAGAAGGTGGTTAAATAATGAGGACTGGTAAAAACTTGACGGAGTTTAGGTATTTCCACCTACACCTTCTGTCTTTATCATTTCTGAAAGAGACGGTTTTGACAATCCGGGCGAATACGTTTGTAGACGGACCTATGAAATCAAACAGGAATACGCTAAGCACGAAAGCCTATGTTGCAAGAGATATCAAATATCGTTATGCCGTCTACCTTTAGGATATCCAAAGGACTCCCAACCAGCAGACCTGCTACGCCGCTCACATAACCTGCTATAAAGTCGTTTAGGCTTTCTGCTGTTTAGACGAGGTATATTAGCTTACAAGTAATGTAAATCGTATCTATTGCGAGTGTCTTACCCATAATCGTTCAGGAAAAGAAGCGGGGCGACGTGTGTGACGAATGTAAGGGCACAACAGCTGTACGTATAGTTGGGTCTTCGTATATAAAAGGGTCTTTGTATCGGATCATTGGGTATCGAACATGTGAATAAGATTTGTTGTGTAATAAATTCTCTTTTCGGATTACACCACCGTTTGTTTCTTCTATTCTGGAAATGTGCCTGATCAATCGTTGGATTGGTTTACTGTGCGTTTTTGAAATTGTAAACGTAATCCGGCGCGGAACATGGTAACAAAATATTAATTAAAACCAATTTGCAGTTATTCTTACAGCTTAACACGGCAAGACGCGTATGGTGCAGAAAGATGGAGAGTATTTTACTTTTAAAATGCGTATTCAAACAAATAGTACTCTGCTGTTCTCTATATACTACTACTATAATTGTTATCATTATTGGCATCTCTTTTATCTCCTAAACCCTAATCTTTTGGATAAGTTTTCGACTTTATTAATGCGAGGTACAATTCTCTCGTTTTTATTACCATATGCTGAGATTTAAGGCATACTTTTCTAATCGTCCGTTTTGTTTCCTTTTGCATGCTCTCATAAAGAGATATCAATAAAACCAGATATCACGGGAAAGAAGATTCGTTATTATTAGTTATCTAATTTTTTTAAACTAAATCATGCCCGTCCCAAATACCCCGAAAAACTTTTGTTTGTGGCACGTGTTCCAATACATCGGTTACTAATGCCGGAATTTTTTTTGTTTCGAGTTTCATTCGATTATACACACTTGGAACATGGACGGTCCGGAGGACAAATTGGAGGACTGCGTCAGGTACCTAAATCGTGAAGGTAACGCGCTTTCGACGCATTCGTTGGCGAACATTCTCCTCACGCATGCATTCTAAGCATAGCATGTTCTTTCTTTCTCTCAGATTCCGTATTGGAACGGAATGCTGCACATGTCGCCACAGAGTTCCTCAATAACAAAGGACAACCTCTAAAGTTGGTAGAATTCCTTTGCGATAATTACTCCGGCGTCCCCGAACAACTCCGTTTCTGTCAAGAAGTCCTGGACGAGTTTGGAAGCACTGAAACGGAGACGTTCATTCAAGATGCACTAAAGGATATGGTTCTCGCCAATTATGATACAAACGCTATTACTACCTGCATGGCAAAGTCTCCGCAGGTTTGTTTCTGCTTTTCTAACATGGTCGACAATGTCCGTCTACTAATGCGCGTTCCGTTTGCAAGTAGGCACTGGATGAAGTGGCAAATCTAATAAACAATGCATATTGGCGTAGTGTCATATATCAATTATCTGAGAAATATCCTGGTGATGCTTTTCTCAATAGTTTAATTCTGGTAAGCATTCCGTTTTTTTTTCTTTTTACATGTCCGTATATTGATTATATTTCTAACTTGACGCATCTAGAGAATAGCAGAAAGCGGGTACACTGATGAAATCAAGCACCTACGAGCAGCAACGTCCAACCTTCGCGTTTTCTCTGATGTTTTAATAGACCAAATATTCACTCTAATCGACAAGGACGGTGAAAGTTTCGAGCAAGCTTTACGAAATTTTGCTCCGACCGTGGCTGTTGAACCGCACACATATTTCCTGACTCAAACAAACATTAAGTTGTTGTCGGATACGCCCGGAGGCTATGCATTTCGTGTGGTTTCAAAAGAGCTAGAAAATGCCGCGAATAGTCATATAAGTCCTGATTTAGTAAGAAATATTAGGAATTTACTGATGGACACTCCCGTGACGGTTGTTAACGCTCTGCGGAGCACTCAACCTCAACCAGGCGAAGTTGCTTCATTATGGAAAGCATGTAAAGAAGCAAAACCGCTTAATCCAATATTTTTACGGGATCCAGATTTACTGGATTATTTGCTCAAAAACACCTTTGTGCCCACTGCCAACCAGGAGAAGAGGCCCGAGTTGAAAGCAAAATATATGTATGTGCTTGCATATGCTGCGTCTGCTTTCAAAAAGCAGGATGGTGAGGTAAAGGGAAATTTTTGTTGTTTTTCTTACAGATCACATCAATATCTAGAGAGTAATAATTGTTGTCATATGATAGATTGATATATCGAAAGTTGAAGAGACTTTTGAAGTAATCAAGAGTCTTCAGGAAATAGTCTCGCGCAAGAATGCGACTGGAACAGAGTTGGATAATGTCCTTAACGATATATGGATGAATAACCAGAAATTCATCGAGTAACTATGACAAATTTCTTTGTAAGTCACATTTGTGCTCTTTTTAATTCTCCCCAGTTTCTGAAAGTGATATCTTCAATGTTGCTTTCCAGTACGCCTATGGCTTCAATGGCACTAATACATTGGATTAGATATTTGCTGCGGGAGACTTCTTTTTACGAAAAACATTATAAGCAGAACGTGGTACCAGTACCGCACTATTTGCTAGAAGAGGTAATTCATAGAAGTTTTGTGCAAGACGTATTAGATATAAGGGCGCTTGCTAAAGTTTGTTGCAAATAGATTGCCGAGCGACAGGAATTCCAACGGCGACATGTGTTCACCGTGTACGTTGAATTATTTGAAGGATCGTTGACGCTGACGCGTGACGCCATTTCTGCTCTCCGGACAGAGTTAATGGATCGTATGCTCTACTTGGTAAAATTGAAATTTGCCATACCCGTTCTACGGTATGTAGAAGAGAACGCAAAACAAATAAAGGAAAAACTTTCCCTCTATTTCGTAGAAAAGGTGAGTATATTTTTATAGTTTGGGTCTCGTATTGGTGAGGTGTACCCTTCTCATGTTGGATCTGACTCCGTTTTATCTTCATGGAGACATTGGAAATGATCAAACCACCATATAGCGTTCAATTCTACGAAATCATGATAAGAATAGTTCAGCCTTTGGCTAAACAGCTAGACAGTCAGCAAAAGTCAAGAAGCTTGATCAAACAGTTTTTGAGTAAGTTATATTTGACTGCTTGTCTATATATTATTTCATGAACGCATACTCATTATGTTTCATCCAAAGATGACTGTCCAGAGGGCTTGACAACAAAAGAAGGCGTAGAAGCAATGAGAGCGGAAGTTGATGAAATGGATGAGGATTAGATCAATAAACTTTGTAGAGATTGTGGTGAGAAGATAGAGTAAATATGGAACAAACTATATACAATGGCGGGAAATTGTGGCGGTAAAAACCCCAACAATTATACTACACAAAAAATAAATTTAACTTGATTGTTTTGCATGTCAATACTTAAACAATTAATACGATATCTAATTGCTTTCCTATAGTGGTATTATTAATGGCTACTCAGCAATAATTTATTGTTCTTCATGCGCAGAACTCGCGTTGTTGTAATTAATTAACAATTTCAAGAGTTTACTTATAACGTATATTTGCGTGCAATAAACTATATTAAAACCAAACCAAATCTCGGTCAACAAAGAAATGCTTACCGCGAATACGGAAGTTAAGTTGCCATTTTAAACTTATTGAGGTTATTAAATAAGGCAATGATCGAGGGCTTTGTGCTGCGAACTGTCGCCAAACGGCGAAACCTGTAAGACCGACTCTGCGAAAATAAGAACGTACTAACATAACGGAACGAATTAGAGTGGATCAAAAAGTTCTTGCCGCATGCCCCTCGTTTTACAGGCAGATAATAATAACCTAATCAAGTTCTGATCTTAGTTGGATGGTGGTTGAGATATCTCCGTTCAAAGTTCGTTCAGACCGCTGGCTCGAATTTTACGCGATTCCAATATTTGTTGAAATTGAAAGATGTTGACAGATGTTAGTAAATTAATGCAAGTTTCATGAAGCCTCGTAGACATAAAGCGCTAAACATAATTGAAGTTTCAATTAAGGGCAAAAGCCTTTCCAAAGTAATTTTGATCTAATCCTGTTCTTTCTTGCAAGTAATTTCTTAACAAAAATGCTATTTTAGTGCTTAGGATACACGTGACAATAATTTAACTCGTTCTTGCTACAACAAACACCAATAACTGCGATGAGGACGCCTGTTATTGTATCTCTTTATGGAGGGTTTTGCGCAGTTGTCCCACAGGAGGAAATATCATTAGTCTTTTAAAAATTGGCAGAAGAGATTACAAAAAATGTAAGAGATGATTATTTTGAAAAAATGACCAAGTTAATTTTAAAATTATTATGCAGTTTTTCAAAAAGTCAAAGCGGCAAAAACTTTTTGATTCGCTTACGATGATTTGATCTCTATCTTACAACAAAAAAGGATAGAATTTTAATCAGGTCTGCGGTAGATTTAATATCAAATACGCTAAGTTTACGAGTTTTGAAGTAAGTTAATAACTGCAAGCACTTAATTGACGCATTTAAGCTCTATTATTATTATAGGTCACGTTATCATTATATGGACAAAACTTATTGTTTATGAATTTAGTCGTATTTGCACATAATTACCCATGTATAATATATTTGTATGAACGTATATTTACTGAAAATGAAAAAACAAATAAGAGATGAATTCCTTCTATGCTTAATCCAATGCTGAATGAGTGTTTACGAGAACATAATTTCTCCCAAATCAAGTCAAAAGTTAAATAGATAAGAAGATTAAATTTATTCGGTAATCTGGGAGATTTTCTTTGACTTTTTCTGAATCCATTTCTCTGCTTATTTTTCTTGCGGCAAGAAATGTTACTTTCCCAATCATTATCGAACCCATTAGCTATATATGTTTTTATCGACTCATTGATTAAACCGCTTCATTATTTTTGTGGTAATTACCGAAAGTCCCCAGTTCAGTCAAGTAGAACACTAATCAGAGTACGCGTATTGTACGATATCAATGATTTAGTTTAGAAGCAAAAGTACATTATTGTTTCTGGAGTAATGTTTAAATTTAAATTTTATCATCTTATTTACTACCACTATTGTTAATAATATCGCTACTATTATTTATTTCTTTAATTTTAATTCCTTTAAATATAAAGTTTTATCCACGTCTTCAAATTATTTTGAGGGCTCCCAGAATAGGAACTGCATAACAAAAGGCTAGTTTCAGTAGGATTAATTACTGCTAATAATCCAAATCTTTTCAAAGTCTCTTTAAAAAGTTCATTGACTTTTTGAGTTTTGGATAATAAGGCTTTTTTTACGTTTCATCTATTAAAATAAGCCAACTTGTACTTTTTGCAATAATCTTTAAGTTCTTTCTCTTTGAAATGTAGTGGTTATGGTAGCAATAATATTAATAATATTAATAATAGTGAAGTAAAGAAGATAATATTAATAATATTAATAATAGTGAAGTAAAGAAGATAATTCACTTTCCACTTTTCCGACCAAAAACTCCACCGTCTTTTGCAAACAATTATCCTCAATGTTATCGCCTAATAGTCCGTTATAGTCGCTCGCTTTCTGCATTTTATAATAGTTCTGATCCTCTGGTGTCCGTGATGAAGAAGCGATATTGTTATTTTCTGTTATTTATATGAAATGTTTAGTGATAGCAAATTTGTAGTGGTGGCAAATGACTTAATATTAAGCAAAACATGCCAGTTCGTTTTGTATCAAACTCCTCATAAAATTCCTGTAATTCTTGTTGCGTGCTTAGCTTACGACGACGATTAGTTGTTACTTCCTGTGCATTTGCATATCGAGAAAGCTGTTCACAAAAAGAAGTTCTGGAATAAGTAAATAAAATCCAGATCCTCTTATAAATGCTCTATTCCTCCTTACCGTTTTCCCAAATATGTTGAGATGCCCTAATGATAATGAGGCGGAACGAACTGCATTTTCTCCTCTTCCAAATTTTGGATTTTCCTCCAAAAGTTGGTAACATCTGAAGACTTTTTTTTCCATCTTAAAAGAAAATAGTATCAGTATCTTTGAAAAACGCAGTAGTACTTGTTATGCAATATGTTGTGGCTGACAAAACTTTATCTGATCACAAGGACAACCTCAGATGCTCTTTCTGGATAAAGCCCAAACTTCAGTTTATCATAAGAGTAACCTGAGATACCCTTACCCTAACTCGAACCGCAGATCATCACAAAAACAACCTCGGATGCTCTTGCTTGAGTAGTGTCAGAATGCCACAGCATCAAGAAAAAACTAGTACTTAACCTCAAACGCGTTCAAAATTTTTTTTGCAATTTCTCCGAGCTCACGATCATTTTCAAGGTTATTATTATGTAGTTTAGCATAATAGTCATTGTGTTCAGCTTGACTTTCTCTTACGAATGAAGCTTGTTTCCTTCTGTATAAGGTATTGGTAAAGATAATTGTCACTTTGCTTCTGAGTACAGCTTTGACAGCAATCTCCCTTTCTTGCTTCGCGTCTGCGCTCATAACTTCCGTATAAAAAATTATTTTCTTGTACTTCGGATACAGATGTATGTGCAAATCACATAACCTAATACACGACGGCCCGTCGTCAAAAGATACTAATACCAAGAAAAATTCTCGATATATGCACATCGATATCAATAAACACCAAAATATAGGCAAAAAAAAAATAACAATAAATTCAGAAAAATAATGTAAATTTGCTTTATTGTTACAATAAAATAAAAATATAATAATAAGCACGTAGGTGTCAATTACATGATAAAATAATATAAAATACAGTCTGCGGAGCAGGACATTCTATGTCTAATATTATTTGTTAACTCTTGTATACAACGTTTCTTAACTTCATGCTCATCACACATTGAAATTCTATCACTTAATACCCCACAATCACACCAATTACTTTTTTGACATCCCTCCTAACCGATTCAAGGTCTTCCTTCAATGCCATTTAATCCAATATTTGCTTTTGCTGGTACAATATAGGCCTTCTGTGCTAAGCTTGATAAAATGCCATTCCGTGGCTAGAAAATAATAATAATCAGAAAGTGAATAATAAATCTGAGATAAAGTCACTAATAATAAGTGTAACCATTTTAATTTTACCAATTTGGACTGTTGTTTGTATTATAATCTCTTGATTTTACTTTTATTATTTTTTTAGTAATGAAGGACTTTGATCTACTCTCATGGAAGTACATCATCAACAATAGCCATCAGCGCATTAGCTAATTCCTCATCTCTATAATTCCATGTTATCTTTAACTTATTTGCAGTATCTGATACAATTGCTACAACAAATGTCCTAACAACAATCCTTGTCTTTTCTCTAGTAATCAATAGATCATCACCAAATCTCTTCATCAGCGCATCTTCTACAACCTTTAATGCAGCATATCGTAGTTCTCTCCCAAGCCCACTCACTCGTGAGCCCCATTTCTTCCAAAATACTTGATCATCAATAGTCTTCCACACATCAAAAGTCAATTCATGTAGTTGCAGACCAATTTGAGATGCACCTTCAGTGGGAGTAAGTAAACGAACTGGTTTATTCGGTTGCATTACGAGCATACCTGATATTGGAACACTATTATACGGCTTTACTTTATTAAGGCTCCACAGGCTGATGTTCGCTCTCGTTTGTGAGTTCTTCTCGGCCAGATATTTCTTAAGCAATCCTACACTAACATCTACAGGAATGTTAAGACTAGTATCTATGGAAATTGTGGTACCGTTTGCAGGAAAAAAGCATCCATCCACTTCAGGAAACTCTCTCTTTATCTTCTCCTGCAAGAATTCCATCTTTGACTTTTCACCGTGTACCAATACCACATTCCTTGGTTCGCATTGTTTAATCAGTTGCATTATGCCTTTTGCATCCGCATGTGCCGAAAACGACAGATTCCTGACTTGCAACTTGACATCAATGACGGTAAACGCATCGACGTGTATTTTCTTCTCACCGGCCAGTACTTTTGCGCCGACTGTCCCTGCTACACAGTAACCGGGCATTATGACCATGTTCTTTGGATCGGGTGCCCATTTCTTAAACACTTCTAAACTTGTGCCCACATGCAACATTCCCGGAGACGCAAAGAGCACTGCTGCCCCTTCCTTGTCCAAGTATGCTCGGTTCCATGCTTGAATATGTTTGAAATCAAACATATTTCTATGTACAAATGTTGATTTGATTTTCTCGTTTGTCCAATTGATGAATAATTTATAATACTCATTGGCACGCTCTGTCATTCCTGCTGAAAAGTATACTGGTACAGTCAAATTATTCCGCTCCCAATACGTCTCAATGAGTATACATAGTTCTTGGGCTCTGCCTAGTGCAAAGACAGGGATAAGAACCTTCCCTCCACTGTTAACACAGTCATGAACTTTCTTCAAAAAATCACGCTCGCGTGATCTCTTTGAGTCTCTGATGGTTGTTGCGTAAGTGCTCTCCGTTATCAATACGTCCGGCCTCACCTTATCAATCCACGCAGCACCGAGATGTCTGTCAGGTGTCATATTATAATCACCGGTGTAGACGACCGTCTGCTGACCGACCCGCACGCTAAACATAGCCGCGCCCAATACGTGTCCAGCATAATATGCCTTGATCTCAAAGTCATCATCGCCATTGACTTTGACAGTCTGATGAAGATTCACAGCTGTCACTTTTTTCATACAGTCTTTGATCATCTGAGCAGTGAAAAAGTCTGTTTCACCTTTTCTCTCTACCGTAATACGACGGTAATCTTCTAATAGTATGGGACAGATTGCTTTCGTAGGATAGGTCATATATATTGGGCCATCATAGCCACACATCTCGGTGAAATAAGGAAGAGCTCCTACAAAGAAAATATTCAAAACACGAATTGGTAAGCTTTTAAATGGGCTTTGCGCTGATATTATCTTGGCAATTTCCATTTACCACACACCACAATGATCCAAATGAAAGTGAGAAACAATAATACAATCCAACATTTCTGTAAAGTTGCCGCCAGTTTTTGATATATAAGAAAAGTCTGGGAACCTTCTCTTGTCGTTATATCCCATATGCATTCCGCAATCAAACATAATGTTCTTTGTTCCTGTGCTATCATCGCCCATAGTTACTATAATACAGCTTCTTCCGACATCTTGACCAGCGCCGAGGGGCACAATTTTCATCATGATTGCTGAAGCGCGGAGCAGGCAAAGAAGTCAATATGATAGTAAGGTGAAATATTTGTCTGCCATTGGTTGACATGTGGCACAAAACCAAAAATTATTTAACGTTAAATTACGCACGGGCAAGGTGAAATCTAAACACTTCCTGCCACGATGACGCATAAATACATTATCGGTGAGTGTAATTTCAAAGCCTTGTTAGGACAAATTCAAATAACCGAGTCGATTACTACCGTGTGTTTTAGAACATATGGAGACAGACTTACATGAATGGTGTATACTGGAATATTCCCATATTGCGACATTTGTCTTTCCACCAAATCTTATCATCACTAGACTGAAAGATGCTGAAATCACTGAATTGAAGAAACTTCAAGCACTGGATGGGACACAACTTCGACGAGAGACGGTAGATGAGACAGGAATAGATAAAAGTAAGATCTGTCTATTGCATCCCAACGCGGAGCAACAACTAGAGCCCGAGGATGGACAAACATTTGATTACTTTCTATTCGGTGGCATACTGGGTGATGATCCGCCTAGAGGTGAGTGTTTTACAAGATGAATAATTTATAAATGACTTGTGATAATCATTCGTTTAATGGATAGATAGAACAAGTGAATTATGTCCTTCCGCTCATGCGACAAGACACTTGGGACAGTTACAGATGACAACGGACACGGCCATCAACGTCACTAAAAAAGTAATTGAAGATAAAGGTTAGTTTACTAAAAAAGATTTGTGGATGTTATTATGTTGACTGCAAGTTTTTTAAAACAGTAAAGATACAGAAATTTATCTATTAATACGACAGTGCGACTATTTGATATCCCATTTATCGATTTTCCCGAAATTGTATTTGATAAAAATGAATCAGTGGTAAGTGCGTTAATTTTTGACGGCCGGGGCTTTGTTTATCTTGACGATATTTTAAACTACTCGCAATTCGCAGGTCATGCCGTTCAGATACATTGCAATTCCACATACAACAAAATCAACACTCCAAACTACTAATAACGAAATCAAGCAAAATATGGTTCCACTTCTACCTACAGGAATGTTAGAATTGCTCAAGAAAGACGCTAATGAACCACTCGATCTGTAATTAATTGTACAGTGTTTATAGATTGATTTGTTAAATCAATTAAAATTTGTATGTACAGTTTGAAGCATCTGCTGGGTCAAAAATTTACACTACCGCTCATTGACAGGCATATTGCGACATCATCTATATAAAAGTGTAGATTGACTTGTTGCAGAGTCTCTACTATAAAATGAAGCATCACATTTAGGAACAAATTCGATATTAACCATGTATTATATTTACGTACGGAATACGAAACGGATTCTTTCCATCACCGCTGTCTTGCCGAGACGTCTAAACGTACTCTTTTTGGTGTTCGAGTAACACACGTCACGGGGACAGAGAATTATAAAATGATCGAACAAAAACTTTGAAAGATAATTGACGAATCATGGTAAGCTCCATAGTTCCGTATTTTGACTGCTCATTAAAAACCGGTTTTCAAAACTAACTTTTCGTAGTCACGAAAGGAACTGCTCAATCCCGCAGGTATTGCCAACAAATGACAGCGCCGTCGCGAACGCAGTACACAGTGCCGACTGTCTCTGCAAACTTTAGCACATGACATTTAGACTTCTCTTGGCATTCCACACCATATGCATCTTGAATAGGTTTAAGAGTAGATGGTCGAAGAGCAACAGATATAAGGAGAATCTCCTGCAAACCTTCAGTCTTGTCACAAGCAGACGGATCAGCATACATTGAACAAGGGAATACCAAATGTCTCGCTGCCGTTTATGGACCACGAGAAGTAAGGGGAAAGAGAGGAAACAATTGTTGTTGAACTAGGAACCATTCATTGTGAAAATAATTGTGGTAATGGTGTTGGCGATGAGCGATACTAGTAAATATGAATAGTAAAGAAATAATGTAGTAATTCTTTTACCAAAACCGAACAGCCTAGACAGAAATCAGCAATACTGCATAATAGAGCTAACATATCCGTTGGAGTCAGCTTTGCTCCTTTTGCCACCAGTGAGAGAAAAAAGTGGAGTAAAAGTGATAAGTACGCGTTTTATCCGCAAATGTGACGGGTTTCTGTTTCGTTACTCGGTGAATTCAACGACTATTGCCTATTCTTCCGTCGATCACTTGTCTTTTAGACGTCTCTTGGAGATAGCTTCATTTGTAAAACAAACATTTGAACCGGTGATTCAAACGACTTCCTTTCCAAGGTCTCAGATTGATATTTTTCTGCAAATACTTCAATTTGACGGAGGTAATTGTCTTGTCCATTTGCGGAAAGAAGTAAAGTCTCAAAAATCCTTATATTATCATATTGCATGCTTCATAATAGGTACTATTCAAATATGCATCAACGCGACAACAATGGCGCTTGTAGATGCGGGTATTCCCATGAATGACTATGTCTGTGCTTGTACTGCTGGGGTAATTCAAAATGTACCCATACTTGGTAAGAGACCTGAAAGATCAGTTTGAGTGGATAATAATTAGTTCCAAGAGTATACGAACGATAAACTCGTGTCGCATGGATAATCTTGTAGACTTGAATTTGATTGAAGAGTCATCGGATAGTCCAGAAGTTACTGTGGCTATTCTTGCTGACTCCGAAAAAGTCACTTTATTACAGGTAAAAAAAAAATTATTGTCGCTCAAGGATAGTGTTGTATAGTCTCCTTGACGAGGCTTTCGAATCTTTTACTAAACCACTTTCTTTTATCACACCGTTCTCGTCCGTACAAGAGTGAATCTAGACTAGACGTGGACAGTTTTCAGGCCGTTGCTCAATTAGCAAAAATAGGTTGCAAAGAAATTCGCAATGTCATGGATGCAGCTCTTCGAAAGAATATTAAAGACTTATTCGGGAAGATGGAAGCGTAAATAATCAAGATGGCATTTGAAAAGTCATAAGTGAAAAAGAATAGGCGAAGGGAATAAGAGATTGCGATGTTTAATTGCTTACCCAGCCACGTATAGAAAAATAAAGACAGATCAATCTGCGGATTTTCGATTAGGCTTGAACTTAAGTAGACGCTTGGAAAACTTTAAAGCCGGTCCCATTATACGCTCTGCCGTGAATGGAGTCAGGTATACACACATTGCAATTCTCAGCGGTCATCAGAATCTGGGAGGAAAGTAATGTCAGCAACCTTCTTACCGAAATATTTGCCTATGATCGTTCAATGTACCTTGACAATGCCATAGCTGCTAGCATTTGAAAAGTAAGATCCACTTGCATTCTTACCATATGTGTTGCCAGTGACTTTAACTTTATCCCCTTCCCGCCCTATTTTCAATAATTACTCTTCGTTGGTAATAGTAGGGGATGTTGTAGAATAATAATCGAATTTGCAAACAGATTTCTTTTGATTGCGAATTTTTTTACCATGGCTGTAACAGGACAGTTTCAGACGCGATCACAGTACACGGAACAAACCCACAGTATCTAATTGAAAAGATTATACGAATCACTTTACTGGAAGTGATCTTGCTTCGGTTTGACCGGTATATGACCGTGTCCAGCGATTACTGTATGCCAACTCTTATTATACAAATTGCTCCCGAAACGGTTTATTATTGATATATCTTTTTACGTTCTGGTAGTGACATTGATTTTACTGTGCGCAAATCCTAACATTCTTCTGGGTGGGGACTTTGAAATAATATGCATGCGTGAATTTATCGATAACCTTCTTCGTGAAGAACGTGTCTTTGATACTCGGCTTGCTAAACGTCATGTACTGGAGAACAACGAGTTGCCGCCAAGAATTAGTGCGTTAGAGGATGGTCTAGAGACGATTACTCTTTCATGAATACAAAGCAAACTTACACCGAACGAGTGACTAACTTGCAATTATTCTCGTAGCTCGTACAATAAGACACAAACTTTCTTCTTTCTATACGACTACACAGCGTGGAATGCAAATACAAAATAAATACACTAATATCACCATCAATTCTCGCTTAATCTAATATGTCGAGGATTAGTTGTGGTTTATCTCAAAAAGGTTTGTCGTATAATATTTTAAGAACGTAGTTTGTCTGGTGTTGTTAAAATTCTCTTACAGTTACTAACGAATATAGACATAAAATTCTCTATCCGTGCAATCACCGCTTTTTCGCAAATCTGTGGTAATTCTCGCAGATGGCAAACCGCGTAGGGAATTCTCCCTTTCTCCAAATATTATTGGATAGCTTTGGCATCAAAGTGACCATATACATTATAATTGAAGCTGTCATCTCTATAATACAATTGCGCTTTAGCATTTTCTCGTCTCATCACCCACATATTACTAACTCCCAAATACAGGAGTTACGTCTCAACTTCTCATTAACCCTTGATTTGCAAGTATCGAAATAGTCGTACGCGTCACCTGCTCATCAGATATCTTATTAGTGGAATCGAAAACATATTAGCACGCTGAAGGATTCCGTGGCTTTAGTTTGGAGCATTGCCCAGCCATCATGACCGCGGTCCATCAATTTACCATAACGATAAAGCTTATTCGGGAACAGTGGAATATCAATCAAAATATGGATCAGAAGAAAATCGATAACATTAAGATTATGCTGAATAAATAACTGATAACGATCACTGTTTATGGTCCCTCCTCTACACGTGAAACATTTATAGTATTGTAATATTGAATAAGTCATGTATTTTGCGGATATTCAAAAAGTACGTAATGTCAACATCTACAGAACTACCCGAGAATTTGCCCATATGAAAAATGAGTATGAGATCGCAACTTGGGTCTCTGACCGTAAACCAGTGATTATCTGACGTTATGTTGTACTTGTTTTTAGAAATAACGACGCAAAGACACCAATTTGTATTAACTGTGGTTCAACTTAGGCACTCGTATGAGTAAAACCGCACTTTCAATAATATACTGTTTTTATAATTAATGACTACAGTGGTTAACAGAAATTTCAAAAGTGAAAAATCATACCTTAGTCAGCACAGGAAAAGTTTGAAGGGGAATGACCTTGCACCAGGTTTTTTTTTTTTTTGAGAAATAAACGCAAAAAACTATAAACGAGAATGCACAAATGATGTAGGACTGCTGACAGAATTCACTTAGCATATGTGGAGAGTTCAAGGCCAAACGCCAAAGATGAGAAAGAGATAACAGATGTCTTTCAGAAAAATTTCCCAAAGGATGATGCAAAGTAATCATCGATTTCTTTATAGTCACCAATAAAGCGGGTATGGACATCATTCTTAAACTTTTCTTCATCGTCTCAGGACAGCCAAATTCTGTTTTATCATGGATGTGTTCTCTTATAGTTGTTTTCTTTTTTCAACCTCCAATTGTATACTAATTTGTATTTAGTATGTTAGGACAATTTCGGGAATTTTCCTTTTCTAAAATTTTGACTAGACTCTTTTGGTCGAATTCCCCAGTTATGCCTAGTCTGTGAACTGAAAAGAAAATAAGCATAAAATGGCTACACAGCAAATAGACAAGTAGCATTACAATGCTACTACGGCTGATACGTGTTTGCTTAAAATGTATCTTTAACCTTTTTTTTTTTTTTAAATTCTCTTAAACAAGAAAACGGCACACATGACCTTTTTTACGAATGTCTTATTCGTACGTAACACACAATTTTAGCTTATTAATAGAAAACAGGCTTTGAAGCCAACAATTCCAAATATGCCAAATATGCAAAATATGCACCAGTACAAAAGTTGCACGACGTTCCATCCAAACAATATTTATTGCATAAACCGAGGTCTGCTTGGCCATTTATAATCTTCTTTTTAATTAACCCGTTCCCCCTCCTTTAACCTACACTCGTTCTTTCTTAAGTTCTTTCGCAGTGGCGTCAGAACAATATACTCTTCTTACAACTCCTTTATCTTCTAATTCTTCCATATCGCTTTCCAGTATCAATTCCGTTTCTTATCCAGCAGACACCATCATGACCCAGTCTCCAGCAAAGCGCTCCTGCGCAACTAGTATTTTCCACACGGATACCTATGACCCTTCGTTGTCATTTTCATCCTACTTTGTTTCTTCAAAAACGCTTTTTGTCGTCCGTTTAGTGATGGCAATATATTGCACGGTTGTATTCATTGCGACTATAGTACAGTATATAGTAAATCAGAATGATAAAGTATTAGTATATTTTACTAATTTAAGTTATCTTGGATTGACTGTTTATTTTTTGGTGAGTATGAGAGAATCGGTGCTGTGACTTGGCAGTTCTTTTAATAGAGATTCCGATACTCAAGGCACTACTTCTTTTTCCACGTTCAGCTGTCCGTGTATCTTGGTGCAAAAACCTCTATGCGTCCAACATTCTTGCATTACGTTCATTTCGTACTATACCATACGGTAATACACTTTCACATTATAGTTCCTCTAGTCTACTGGTTCTTCCTCGATGATCTTACATCCGAGACGCCTGCAATCACTTGGTGGAGAACGGTGTCAATGCATGCCGGAGATGGAATATTTATGCTTGTAGAACTGTGGTTGAATAAGCAGATCTTGTATTGGAGTTACTTGTTAATAACTATGTTATTTTTACTGTTGTTCATGTTTGAGAGTTGGGTCGTCCATGCTGTGTAAGTATTTAAGAGTACTTGGAGTTGGGGGAATGTTTCTTTTTTGTGTTGACATGTGTGGATCTATGCTCGGTTTGTCTTCGTATAATCTCATTATTAACTCTGATGTCCACTTTTGTCGTTGATTAGTGATCACTTCTGGGTATACAATTTCCTCTCATGGGATAGTGGTGCAGCAAAAGCAGCGACTTGGTATTTGGGTCTGTTTGTATTCTTCATTATTGCGTACGCATTCCAGATGGGTATGATCTATTTACGCAATTATATCGGTGTGAGGTTCGAAAAGTCCAGGAAAAAGTTGGTGGCAGCCGATAATATCCCGATGGATAAGATGGCACCGGATAATGCCGTCTAGAGACGGCAATGATGATGGTGACGATAATGACAATTACATTTAGATGAAATCGCCCGTCATATTATAGAATGTGCTTATATAATATTATTTGTAACATATAGAGAAACATGGTTGTAATAAACGTGATTATATCATAATATTGTCTGTTGATGTGTTCCGTTTTATGCAAAGATTGTTTATTGGGAAGAAGTTTTATTATGGTGTGTCTAAATTATCTCTTATTATGATTAATGTACAGTTATAAATATTCACCAGAAAAAAATATTATTTAAAAATTTACATTATTGTCATGTGAAGATGGATGCGGTAAGGGCAGTGGTTATCATGGTTATTATCATTATTGCAGTCATCCCCGCGGTTAATGATGATGCGGCGCCACGTAGGAAAGTACCACACACACATCTGTCAGTGGTATTGATAAACGCTCTTCCTGAATCGTTGCAGACTTGAGCAACATGATCGCAAGATGGTGTTACAGTGGCGACAACGATCATTGTCGTAGCTATAAACAAGACAGAATTGAAAAGACGATTAATCCATGACCATAATCAACGCATAAACAGACGTGCATATAAATCTGTACGTGCACTCACTTGAGCTAGGCTTGATCGAAGACGAGGTTGAAGTCGCAGCTGAAGACGTAGTAGAGGTAGTAGTCGCGTTTTGTTCCAGAATCCGGAATACAGGACTGTCCGTCTTATCGGGAAACAAGTCTGCTATATTCTCGGGATTTCTCTTTTGTAATGATTGGGAATTGATGTTTGTTAACAAAAGATCTCTTTTTTTTTTAACCAGCCAAACAACAGTATCACGTGCGCAAGAAATTTCTCCTCACCTCCAAATGTATGTAATAATTATTCGCAGTTGTCAATCCACTAGTCACAATCCAACTAACGTTTTTATCTACCGTCTTTACACTGGCAGTAATAGTAGCCATTAGATTGTCTGCCGCCAATGACCCGGTTTTCTGGTATAGCTCCAACTTTAAAGTACGACCGTTGTCATTAGGGTCGGTGGTATTAAAATCCCATAGAATTTGAACGGTGGTTCCAACAACCCAATCTGTCGTCGTAGTCGGAGAAGTTATGACATATTTGTCAGAATACGCCAGTGGAGTGAGAGATAGAAAGAATGTGAAAAATGTGAAGAGAATGAGGTGGAAAGATGAATGCATTTTGGAAGAATACAGGAAGAGATATGCGTATGGAATGATAGAGTAGGGTAGAGAGTATGAAGCGGGTATGCGGACAATGGTGAAATGATTAGGTAGTGACAATAATGTAACGGTAAATATAAAGTTCTGATATATTTAATATACACTCGAGAAGGGGCCTCTCGGAAGCCTCTGGTGTTGATTGAACGAGTGTAGGTAGAGACCTGCTCTGAGTGTTAACAGGAAGACCTTTAGCTGTCGGTATGGTGTTGAAGGGGAACTCTCAAGCGCATATGCATGTTTATATACGAACATACTTATTGGTTTGTTTTATATAATAAGCAACTAACAATAAAGAGAAATAAAGCAAATGGCAAAAAATCACATTAACAATACGACCTTTTTCATATGCTTCATCAAACTTACTGTGTTCATGTCTAAATACGGCCGAGCGCTTTGTAACACCTGTGATCGATGCCAAATGTAAGGATTAGGATAACAAACCAGATAAATTTCCATAAAAGGAATGGTTTCGGGTTTGACACTAGTCAGATTAATCCTTTAAAGCCTTTTTATTTAATTAATTGTCGAATGATCTTATTTCTGCTAGAGCTAAAAAAGTTGTAATAGTAACGGTTAATAAGTAAAAAAAGGGTAACGGTTTGAAGTGCTGAAAAAACGCTTTGCTATTACTATTGCATGATTTACGCAAGTTGCATAAAAAGTACGGCACTAACCCCCGAAAGTTAGCGCGCTTTAAACAAAATTGTATGACAAATACGGACAACAAGAAATCAGTCGGATAAGGATTTTTCAAGTTTCAAAAGATGGTAACGATGTGCCGAGCGCCGATCGCACACAGTAACAATAGCTCTAAATTCTTGGCAAGTTATTGCGCAAGACCATTTATGAGAATGTCGCTAACGCTTGTCTTTATAATAAAAGAGAGAAGAATTAAGAATTCTTCAATGTTAATGTTAAATGTTACCCTCAAACAGTCAAACTAGGAAATAACAGTGGACTTCTAACTTTTAACTACCGAACACGGATTAGCTGGACAAAGATGTTAACAAATGATTAATGGCGGCAATTGTAATGGAAGTTGCGTTACAAAATAACAATATTCGAATTACAATATTGATACGTTGTTCGTAATACGTCATAGTTGTGTGTTCAATTTATAAGTTTTGGCCATGCCCATGTCTTCCGTGTATTATCAAAACAAAAATATACACCCTACTCATGTATTGAGCTTTCAAGCTATTTTTATGTTTAATCTTGACAACTAGCGAGTGCAATGACAAAACAATAACAAAACAATAACAAACGTTTGATTGACCATTAGTGACTATATTAATAATATTATTATCCCATGTAACGAAATGGAATATTATTGCAAACGCACTATGTGCAGGCATATTAGAACTTGCTCACTCATAACAAACAAATTGATAACGTAACCAGTTTAGAAATTTACCAAAAGCTTGACTTTATTTGTCAATAATAATGCTTTTAAAATATCCAGTTTAATCCATTAGTTTATTCGGACGTTTCTTTGATTGCTGATGGCCCTTTAATTTGTTGACTACAACAAAAGTCTTCATACAGCGCATAGACTATTATTATTGTGAAATACGATAAAGTTCACGTGTAAACAAGGCACGTGTAGAAATTGTATTGTTTACTCAAAATAGACATCAATTAATCGTATGGGATAAAAAACTATTGTCCTAACATATATTTATACAGTTTCTGGGTCAGATTTGAAGGTTATCAATTAAGGCCGTTCATTTAATTTTGTCTCGACCAATCATGAGGGTTAGAAACTATAACTACTTCTTCGGAGATAATCTTCTTTGTAAATATAACGCAGTTTACTTGTACTGCAAATCTTTGTCCTGCGAAAACCAATGGCCGTAGAACCGTTTACATTATTGAAGACTCGTTTTCTTTAACAAATCAGCAAACGTATTCGTTTTTTATTTTGTAAAAGTCATTTTATTGCGTATGATAGCATTGCGCAAATCATGACTAATAACGTAATAGGTTGGATTTTCTTTCTTACAAGAATATAGTTGTCCGATTATCTAGCAATGCTGGTATACGTATCGCCTGTTGAGCACAAGACATTTGCTTCATAAAATCGTAGTTGCTGCTGACGAACAGCAAAATAAAAAAAAAGAAGTTTATTTCAACATTAACAAAAATTCTAATTGGGTCATTTTGCGCTAGTCAAATCCTATCAGACACTCTTTTACTTTGAGAAAATTATTATTATGCTCTGCCGTTTACAGGGCATGTTGTGCTTTAGTTTTGTGCGTAAGTTGTATATACGATTTTATCATACAAGAAGAGGAGATGCTCGGTAACTTGTGAGAGTTTAAAGACGTTTCATATGGGGCATGCTGCAATAAAATCAGACAAAGTAAACGTTTGACCATGTAAGTTAAAAATTGCTAGTGTGGCGCCTTTCTTTTCTTTTTGGCTTTGATTTAGTATTAGTGGCACAGCTGTGGCCTATTACTACGTCCACAATTTTAGCTACATTTGAATCCGATACATTTTGAAGTCTTCTGGAATAATAAGCTCAATTTCTGGAAGCGATGAGAAAGGAGGCATTTTTCAACAAAACTTTTGATTTTCCCCAACGGTCAGAAGATAAGGCCCAGAATTGAGGATGAATTCTTCATTGTAGCCAGTACATTATCTCATCATGCTTTTCCAATAAGTCAAGCCTTTGTCGTTTGAGCAAAAAACTCCAACGGGTATAAAAAAAAGGATATGATGCATTCCAGTTTTCTGGTCATAAATTCTTAAATTCAAAATACCTCCTGAACTGAGCTCCTTGGAAGTACTAGACAATAAAACTTCTTTATGCCATCACTGGTTATACCAGTTTTTTCTACAACAGCCCAATTTTCAGGAACGGATTTCTACATATGAATTTGCGTTTTATATACGGTCATAATTAACTTGTCTACAACGACTCGGTCGAAATACGATTTTATCATGCAAATTGTCAAGTGATATATTAGCTACCGCATTGGCTACCCCCGCTAACTACTGAACTACGTGATTAATTTCATTTCAGCTTCAGCCCCCTACAATATTTAACTAAAATACGTACGTATTAGGATTCAAATCGTACCTTACTCGTGATTTAGTAAACGTTGAATTATGACAACATACGAATGTTTTTTTGAACTGTCAAGTTAGAATAAAAATACCGCAAACGCTCATAAATAAGGGCCTTCCCTATGAAAAAAAGAAGCGATCATTAATAAGACCTGCAATAGTTGTGAAATGGCTATGACATATGTGCGTATAGTTAGTGATTATGTAATAAACAAAAAGATAAAGCGGCCTTTACGTGACTATTTGTAGCATTGTTCTTAATCACACAAAAGCTTATTATTATATGAAGAAGGGTATTCAACGGTAGTTGACGGTTATAGTGCATATCAGTTAGTCCCACACTACTGTACCACACGAGGCAGTATTAGTATTACGTATCACAATTTGTATGCTGGGACGTTATTGGCATTTACACTTGGCTACCGCTACGTTCGAAAACGATTCTTCCGAAACATGCAATCGTCTGACAACACATACAGGGAGTGGCTAGTTAAGAGTATCCAAGAAGGATTTATCAAACACTATTCGGAAGATGACATCCAGGATCGTAAACTGCTCGGTCATGGTGGATACGGTGTTGTATACAAAGCCCGCATAAAGCATTCTGGAAAATTAGTCGTTACGAAAACTTTGGTTCTAACTCGAAACAGATGTGAAGATGAATTATATAAGCCGTTTGTCAAAGAGGTTGGCGCCACTTTCCTATCGTCGAAATTGATTTTATAGCGTTTAAAATTGTATAAACTGATTATAATATGATAGCTGAGAACTCATAAACAAGTGGATGATCATCCAAACGTTATTCGGTTCTTGGGAATATATCAAGGTGCATAAATTTAACATCATATTTTTCCAGTACATAGTGGTTATACTTATCCAACTCTATAAATTGATGACCTGAACAGATTTGTCTGGTCCCTTACCCTATCACATGGTATTTGAATACGCAGACGGTGGAACTTTGTCTGAACACCTACAGGAAAATTTCTCCAAGTTGACATGGAAGGACAAGTATGGGCTGGCTTTGGGAATCAGTGATGGACTGTTGTATTTGCATAAACTCGAAATTGTTCATAAGGACTTGGTATGTGTTGGTATAACTTATAATTAATATTAATGGGATATATAGTGACATATATAACGACATTATTATTATACTTCAATGCTAACATAATATTAATAAACAACTATTACTATATTTTCTGTTATATCTTTTGGGATTAGTCATCAATGAATATTCTTCTCCAAGAAGGCATTGCAAAAATAACAGATTTTGGATTGTCTAGTACTCTTAAACAGATTATGTCTACATCAAAACATGAAGGAAATATGGCATACATTGACCCATTATCTTTTAAAGATAAATCTTACAGACGTGGGAAACAATCAGATGTATTCAGCTTTGGAGTAATACTTTGGGAGATCTCAAGTGGGAAAATTCCCTGTGAAGGTGTTACCACAAATTATGAAGTTTTGCTATACAGATTGAATGGTTCTCGTGATCCTCCATTTCCTGGAACTTCTGAACAATATATTGATCTATATTCCAAATGCTGGGATGAAGACCCTAATAGAAGGCCATCAAGTGAAACAGTAAATACATTACTCAAACTGTTGATTACTCCACCATCAACTTACACATTAGATCTGAGTGAATGTCAAATTGGAAACACAGAAGCAACCATTTTAGCAAAAGCTCTAGAATCAAAATTTTCATTATCTTCTTTAAATTCAGTTTATAATGAGATTACACGTATCAAAGCAAAATCTATTTTGAAAAAGGCTCTGGAATCAAATTTACCTACAATAATAACATCTCTAAATCTTCAGTCTAATAAAATAGGAGATACAGGAGCAACAGCATTGGCAAAAGCTCTGGAATCAAA